CTATGGCGTGTGACGGGCGTGCGGGGCCTGGGGCAGGGGATGAGGTGCCCCCCGTTCCTCTCAGGGCGGGCCGCCCTTGCCGCGGGGCAGTCGCAGGCCCCTGCGCTGCTAGAGCGGTGTGCTGTGCCTCCCCCTCACCCGGGGGCCGCCTTGCTGCACCCCGGCCGGGCCGGGCCGATGCGGGGCAGCCCGCGGTACCGGCTTTGCCACCGCGGCGGTGAGTAGTTCCTGCGGCGTTGCAGGAGGCGGTGAGCTAGCGTATGGGACTGTTCGCTGCTGATGGTGTCTTCTTGGTGTAACCTGGGTTGCTTCCTTGCATGTAAAGTGACACATCAACAGTAAACTTCCTACTAAAAGTAATAAACGCAACATGCAGTGGACTCTAAAAGAAGCTGTAAGTGAATTTGCTTTTCTTGAGAAGGCTGCTTGTGTGAGTACCTGATGCGTGCTTGGTGTATGTATTTTTCCCCCCCACCCACCTTTTTGACAGTTACTTGTGGCCTCAGGAAACAGCTGAGCTTTCCCTGTGTGGGGACTCAGGTTGGGGGCAACTTGCTGGAATTGGTAGGTGTTGAGTCTTGACGTTTTCTTGACTCTGAAATTTCATTTATTTCTTAAGTGTACTTAACAGATCTGACATTGTTCATCAACATAATTGATACAGGTGCATTTTTCAAGATCCTTGTGCTAGCTACACAAAAGTGACTTTACTTGAGAAGCCTTTTAAGTAGGAGAGTCCCCAGATCTTCTGTGCATTCTTAACAGTATCTGCCTGAATAGAAATAAGCTAAATATCAAACCTGATACAAGTTAATATAAAGCTAACTGTAACTCATTTACTTGAGGGTATTGCTATCCCCTAATTTCCTCCTTGTTATATTTTACCATAAATTGTGCTTTTCATAATGGTAGAGAAATGTCATCAGAAGTAGCTTTTCTGGAGAGAATGTATAATTGTTGTAAACTGTGCAATTATCTTAAATCTCTGAAACATTTCATGGAAAACTCAAAAAACATTGTTGGTGAGGCATTTGACTGTATTTCCTGTCATGAAGCATAAATTAAAAACAGAATGGGGAATATTGCTGTCAGAAATGCTAAAATATGAACTTGTACAGTCAAGCTTTGATTTCCTTTTTTTGTTTTTAGGTGGGTATGCATTAAAAGCTTGAAGCTTGAAAAATTCAAGAGAATTCCCTCCCTCCTACCCTGACAGAATACTCCTAGATAGAAGGTGCTTGTTGTGACAATGGACTTACATGGTTTTTACAGATTAGGTTTCTTATGACTCAAATCTTGCACTATTGACTCACTGTTAAAGTAACTACCTCAGGGATGTTGAACAGCAGTGTTTCCTTTTGGAATCTGGCTGCATGTTGCCTTCACAAGGAGACCTTCCGAAGGAAGACAGAGGCAAGCATTCATATGAAACCATAAAATTATGACAGTCTAGAACTGGTGTATTTTTAGGGACCACTACTTGTAGTTGGTAGCTGTAGTTATTACCATAGAATGAAGAATCGAAGGCCAGAAAATAGAGAAACCTAGTACCCTGCCTTAAGGTAGGGTGAAGGTGTAACTGGTCAATAATAGGATTTTAAAGTAATGCTAGTTTGACTTTTCTGTTAGTGTCTTTAAAAGTTATATATTAAGAAACAGTATGTGGGCTTCTGGATTAGAGGGGAGATTCCAACTGTTACGAGAAAGTTAACCTCACAGTGGGCATTGAAATCTTTTTCTTAACATTTTAGAAGTTGTTGAGAGTTCCTGGCGTTATACAGGTTGTGTCCGGAGATGACGGTCAGTGAGAACTCAGCATATGTAAGATGTGCTCTGGCTTTGACAGCTGTATTATCGTGGGAGTTCTTGATGGCTAAATAAATCAAGATCTGACTGCCTTTTGTGTTTTGCTAAATGATCTTGAACTATCAGTGCAGTGCATCTGTGTTTGGAATTGAATTACTGATGTCAGTGTGTATGCTAGGCTGCAGTGCGCAGTGTTTGCTCTCTTGAAGATTCTGCCTGTAAGACCCTGCATAAAGTTCTCATGATGGTTTTTGTGTTTGCCTGTGCTAGCAGTTTCTGTGGCTGCTTGCTCTCTTTGTAGAGTTGAAAGATTTCCCTTTATTTTGAGCAAAGTGCTTCCCAAAGGGAGAGAGGGTGAAGGAAGCACTCCCATGGCATTAAAATGTGCTAACCCCAAGGCTTAATCCTTGCTAAACCTTGTGGTGGTGGACTTCACGGGGCAGGTTGGGTGGAGCTGAGTTAAGGCTAAAGCCGAGGTGTGGAGAGCTGCCTGTTTGAGATGTGCACTAAGGATACAGCTGTTGATACCCTTTTACACTAACATTAAACTCCCACATTTCTCCTTCAACCCATTGTTAAATGTGGGATACAGTGCTAGTATACTGGACACTTTTGTGACACTTATGTAAAGTGTTTATGAAAAGAGATACTTGTATGTTATTGGCCCTTACATGACTAAGTATCCATACATGTATATATATGTATACAGGATTAAACTGTCTTGTTTGGGGAATTTATTAGCGGCGTTTATACAACTACAGCATTTATTACTATTTATGTACTTCTAAGTATCTGTAAAAGTTCATTTCTTTAAGACAAAAAAAATCTTTTTTTGTTTGGGGTTGCACAGCACTTAGGTTAATGAAACTTGGATGGTTTAACCATGAAGTTCATTGTCCAGGGTGATGTGTGTGCCAGTGGTTTGCCTGGGTTAGAACAGTGATTAGACAAAGTCACAGGGCAAAAATGTACCAAGGGCATTTTTTAAACACAAAAATAAAACTTCTGATATTTCTGGGCTGCTTGTTATTGGAAGCTGGATAAATATCACTGTATATTTACCCTACTGCTTTCATTTTTTCCTTGAGCTTTATTATTACAGGATATTGGGCTACTTGGGCTGTTGGTCTGTCCTCAAACAGCTGTCCTTGTGTTCTGTAGTCAAGTTCCAGCACACTCAAGGTATATGCCATTGATATCCCCAGAAGAAACTTCTTCAGTTAATCTCACAGAATTGAATGTCCTGCTTTGGAAAAACTGATACATCTTCTTTGCATCTTTTAACTGAGGGGAAGTGGTTGACTGATGATGACATCTAGTTTTCTGTCTTTTTTTTTTTTTTCATTTGCTGCTAACATGCTTCAGACATTTTAACTGAAACATCTCATAATTGTTCTCAGATCCAAATCTGAAAAATATTTGGTACGTGTGACGTAACTTCATTTGGAACTTGGAGTGTCATCACTTGAAAATTGAATGGAAAAATAAATCTGCTTTAGATGGAAGTATTTAGTATATTGAGCATATGAGCAGCTTAACTTCACAGTATTGTTTGTATCAGCAGGATGCTTTATTCAGCTTCAAAAGCCAAGGAGATGTGGATTTACTTTGTCTGCGGTCTTTTATATCTTTGCAAAGCAAAATAAATTTGTGCCTGTAGGTCCGTACAGTTCTTTTCAAGTGAATCTCAAGCCTTTTACATTCTCCCTCCTGAAGCTGTAAACGGCTGAAATACGCAGCTAAGAAGGTCCATCTCAAGGAATTTACAATGTGTTAGGGTGAAGAAGATAAAGGGGGTAGGAGTCTTGTGCTAATATAACAATGTATGTCTTTAAAATAAACAACGAATGGGAAAATCCTGAACACCTTTCCCCCTTCCCTCACCCCAAACTGCAGGAATTAAGTTTTCTTCTGTTCAGTTTGGCACATTATCTGTGTAGTCTAGTATATATGTGCTGTAGTGATGCAGGGGCCAGGTTAATTTGTCATTCTGTCTCATTGTTTGTGAATATTTGGGATTGGTCATTGCTGTAAAGGGCATACTGTCTGGGTGAAAGCCTTATCCTGTGGATGTGGCAATTCATTGTCCAATATAATCTGTTTGCTTGAAGGTTTATAGTGGGCAGCTGAGTTAGTTGACGTAGTTTTCTTTGTGATAGGAGGTAAATCTCTGAAGTGCTGGGAGCTTTGTCTTTTTGTCTTTTATCACATGATTCATGGCAGATTTTGGTTTGGATATCTGGCGGGTTTTCTGCCTGAAGCTTACTGCTGTAGACTAGCAATAGTAATTTAATTTCATTTCTATGCTGTTTTATAGCCCTTTGAAACAAATGTAATTTACTTCTAGGTGGCTGCATGACAGAGTTGGGTAACACAAATCCTGTCTGTTGATTGTGGAAGTAGCTGACTAATATTTTTGTAGAGCAGTGCTGGCATATCTTTAAATATCAAGTCTTCTGTATGGTTGTTTGTTGACTGCTTGTGAACATGTGTAGATGAAAGTTAATGGGAGTGTGAATATGTGTTTTGTATCTGTGTGTGCAATGACAAGTCAAGCAAATTGTCTTATACAGGAGGCTAAACTGTACTCCTGGAGCAACACACTGAAATTTTCCTACAGTGAGTAGTAAAGTGATAAAAGAGGCAAGGATTTCTTGAGGGCTGTGCTGTTAGCTTGCAATGGCATTAGAACTTGTAAGAATAAATTTATAACGCCAAAAAAACCCTACAACAATGTCTTGGTTGAGGTTAAAGTATGGAAGGCTGAAATAAACTTTTGTAACTTTTTCAGGTCATCTTGTAATGGGAAAAAATGGAGCTGACCATGCCATGGCTATGGAAGAAGGATCTAATGATTTGTTCATAGGCAACTCTAATAGTACAGGAGAGTCAGAAACAAATCATCAGGTTTTTCAGGTGAGGTATGAATGTCCTGTCTTTGTAGATTCTTTCTTTACATCCTCTCTGATGAATTTACAGTATGATACTTCATCAATGTGTTTTTTCTTGACTTTATAGTAATACATTGTGTCTTTTAAAAAAGTACAGAAGTTCCTTCCCTTGGATTCTTGTGCTGTTCAGTTTGAACTGATGAATATCTGGATGTTACATCTAATGACAACTGTTAGTAATTATATTAGTAATTATATTAATAGATCTTGTTATAGTGCTGAATATATGTTTTATTGTGTTAATAAAATCCTTTAATAAAAGAATACTTGATGACATGCCTTGGAGTAGGAGGGGATCGGAACACTTGAAAATCAGGTCACATTGCTTAGTGACCAAATATGGCAAATAAGAATCCAGGGACACAGGACATCTGTGTAGGTATTGGGGAAGGAAAGTCTTAGTATATTTACTATCAAATATTGCCAGATGTTCCTAGTCTGAGAGATTTCTGTGCGTAAATGTTCTTCTGCAGATTACTTCAGCTAACATAAAATATCACGCTACTAAATCTAGTTTACATTCTCTACACAATGTCTTTAACACAACTAGTGCCATTTATTTGTTGCTGTTTTTCTGGTGTAGTTTACAGTAGACAGTTTCAGCACAGAAGATTTATACCTGCATAATTTTTGAGAAGATTGTCTGACCCAGGTCTGACTTCAATATAAAGTTTAGAAACATTTTTCCCAGCTCTTTTGATTTGTAGATTGACGTTTCTGCTACAAAAATTTGTAGAGTTGTTTGTGTGATTGCTGCAAGAGATACAACAAATTGCACTCCTTCTTGCATTGACCAAATGACAGCCTGACATGATGTTTTAGACAAGGGCTGCCTACTTGCCATTATTTTTACATGTTTAATATTGGTTTTGTCAGAGTTTCAACAAGATGGATATTTGTGCTTAAACTTTTAAATTCCGTGAAAGTGAGATGTACTCTAAGAACCTGATTCTGCAAGTTTGATGAGAATGAGCTCTGAGTACGTGTTTTTTGAGACTTGCCAGATCTGATTCTTGGTCTTGCACTGTATAATTCTTGAACTTGATTTGGTGGCTTTGTGTTGTTTGTGTTTCTTCTGTGGTAAAGAATTAAGAAAGCGTATAGAGCTTTTTGTCTTCATAGTTAAATGCACGTATCTAAAGGCTGGGTAGAACAGCATTTCCTCTGAACTCAAAGGAAGTTGGTGGATGGTTTACAGGTGGGATTTTTTGGAATAAATTCTTTCAGTTTCTAGGTAGACTTGAGATGATTTAAAGTGATGAGTGATTTTGAAGGACAGGTTTTGAGTATGAGGGATTTTCTTTCTCCTTAGTAAAGAGAGTTTGTTCTAGCAAGCAGAAATATGAGTACATTTTCAACATGGAAATGGAAAACAAAAATAGAACGGCTAGTGTTAGCTAGTAGCCTCTTGATCAGAAGGACAAGAGCTCCCTCCGAATTTACAATACAGTATGCTGGTTTTAAGTGTTCTTTTCTTTATCTTTCTTTTCTTTTTTTTTTAAATAGAAATTGCTATTCAAGATTAAAGTACATTTTACTGGGTTTCCTCTGTGAAAGCATCTAACCTGCATGGATTCCAGGGATCCATTGTTTGGACAGAGTGACTCTCCGGCAGCCTTGCCTGTTGGGGTACGCATCTCTGGCAGTTCTCCATCATCGGCAGCACCCGCGCGGCCACCCCAGCTGCAGCCTCACTCTGCAGAGGAGTTCCAGCTGGCAGACCAAACTGGGCAGCCTCTCTATGAGCTGCAGCCCCTAGGGGGGCCCAGTGCACCCATGGTGAGTAAGTGTGAAACCCTTCATCAGGTAGGCAAATCCTGTCTGCAGCCGTTACTAATTCTGTTAAACAGCTTACGTCTTCTGTCATTATCAAGCCTGGATGTTACTGTGTGATGAGATCTTGTACTGCTGCTGCTGCTGCTTTCTCTGTATTCCCAGGATAAGTCTCTCTGTGTTGTTTTTTGGGGGTATTAGAACATTAGCGATAAGCTAAGCCATTATGTCTCGTCTTCTCTCCCTGCCCCCCTCATTAGTTTGCTTAAAACATCACTTTGTAATTCTTAACACTTGTTTTGTAAAAAGGTAACTCATCCAGAGGTTTTGGTTGGCATGTCTTTTACTGGCACTAAAGACACTTCACCCATTTAAAGTGTAATAAATCAGAAACAAGATGATATTTTATGTGATTCTAGGTTTTATAGTGTTGGGAACAAGATCTTGGTAATGATGGGGAAAGTTTACCATAAGCAGTTGTTTAAGTTTTCCAGAATTCTAGGAGATTTAATGTTTGGGGTTTTTTTGGTTTTTGTTTGTTTTTTTTTTTAAAAAAAAAAGGCTTGGACTTTTCTTCTATCTGCTTTCACATAAAAAACTGCCCATGGTAGTAAATTTCTTAGGAGTAATGGTCAAAATTTTTGTGTTGTGATTAGTTCTGCTAGTCCATGGATGGGGTTACAGTGAATTGAACTATGAATTGCTTTCAGGTTTTTGATAGCTTTAATAATAGTGTTGTGAGTTTCAAATAAATGTGTGATTTATCATAAAATCATGTAAGGTTTTGGTGGGGTTTTTTCTCTCCTTTAATCAATTAAAGAGTTATTTTAAAAGGGGAAAAGTAATTTTAAGAAACTGACAGTAAATAGGCAGTTTCCTTATTATGTGAAATCAAGTTAACTTACAGGCCCCAGTTCCAACCAGCCAGAATATTTCCTATTCTGGTAACAGGCAAACCCAGTCATGCTGCATGATCATCACCCCACAAACTAGTGCCATTCATGTTTTTGTGTGATTGCCTTCCAGATGATTGTTGCCAGCCAGTCAGAAAATGGACAGGTGCTGCATGTCATTCCCTCTGCCCAGCCAGGAATGGCCCAAGTGATTATTCCTCAAGGTCAACTTCTGGATGTGGCCAGCACACAGGGTGAGTCTAACCCGTGAGTCTTGATGTGTGTTCCTGTGACTAAGCATATCCTGCATGATCTCTTTTTTTAAGCACCTTGTTTGTATGTGTTTTCTAAGTCAGTTATAAGACAAAAATACATACTTACTGAATCTGCTTTATGACTGTGAATCTGGCACCGCACACATCATGTTTTCTGTTGGGCAAAAGCCTTATTAAAGAAGAGCTATTATGCTTACTTTAGATATGTGATGGATAGATAGAGATATTGAGCACAAAGCTGCTTGTTGCCTTATTTACCATTAATAAGAGTATCGGTGCCAAGTCAGACAGCTGTACTATCAGCTTCAAATTTTCACTGCCTGTTTACTTAATTTTAAGCAAAGTAATTAATTCATGTAATGCATATAGAAGAATTAATGTTCTTCAGGTCTGGGGATGATGCATTTTTTGTGAAGCCAGGAATGAAGTTCCTAGTTAGAAATTCAGTTCCCAGTGAAGCAAATGAGATGTAACTTTCACTTCATTGCTAACTTTTTTCCCTCTATCTGTTAATGGTCTCATTTGAACATGTGGTGAGATGCACAAATTTTAAGCTTTCTCTAGAAAAGGGACATACTGAAGTCTGAAAGCACTGATCTGCCAGCCTTGTGGGCTAGCAAAATGCTGTCTACTGGTTTGTATTCACAGAAGAATACAGAGAACTAGGTGGTCACATTTTATTAAACTCTCCAAGGTTTTTTAAATTGTTTTTGCATTTTCTGGATAAAATTCTCAAAATTTGAGCAAATTCTCAAAATCTGAGCACTAGTTAAGTGCTCTGGTGGAATGAGAGCTCAAAGGTTTGACTAGAGTTCTGATGCTGTCTGTAGAGAAAAGAAAGTTGGGATTTAAATCATGATCCATCCCTTTTCACTTAGAATTAGAATATGATTTCCTGACCTTGCATTGAAAGGCTTGCTCCTACCCTAATACTCATCCTTCTTTCCCTTTCCACTTGCTCTTGCAGGGGTGAGACTACTGTTTGGTTACAGTGTAGTCTTCTGTGACATTAAGTAGACCATGAGCCTTTAGTTACTGAAGCGTTGCTGCTACTTTTTGTAGGTAGCAAGTTGCAATGCTGAATAGAATTTTTGTATTCTCATTCTTCATCCTACATGGGGCTCTAAATAGCTCAGTTTCACAGTGTTTGAATACATGTCCTACAACAGTGCTACAGCTTTTTTTGTGGGTTTTTTGGTTTTTTATTTTTTTCTAGAGACTTAGTGTGTAAAAGACTTTGTAGCTATTTGATCTTTAAAAGACAATAAGGCTTGTCGGTGGTTTACTGTGGAGATCAAAGGGGAAGGAGAATGGACTGTCAGCCCTTGAGTTTCACTTGCCTGCACATGGTGGTAATGCGTGAAATGGCACAGGTTTCAGAGCAGACTGTAGTGTCTTAAGGGCATGTCTACAAAGAAGGAACCAGTGCTCCAAGCTTTAAGCCATAGTGGTGTTGCTCTGAGGTGCACACTTAGGAATCTTCTGGCGCAAGCTTTCTAATGGAGTGATTTCTGTACTGAGTCAATAACTTATCCCTCTCTCAGGGTGGGGGAAGGAAACTTTTCATAATTGAAGGACAAAAATCTCATACGGAGAAGGCTCCCTTTTCTTTATGTTGAGCCCAAAGTATCAAATGTCTGCTTTCACAGTTTTCCGTTCTGTTTTTATTTAACTATATGTCCAGGCTTCAATCTAACAGTATTTTTTGGCTTACAGATTGCTCCCGGTTATCAAGAAAGTCTAAAACATTTGTTCTAACAGCATGTCAGATTCAATTACAAGAGGTCTGTTTTTACTTGTTTAGGTGTTCTTTTCCAAGTACAAAGCAGTATCATAATCTCAACCAGTGTGTGATTTGCAGCTGAACAAAATATTTGTGTGATCTTGTATGGTTTTGTGGATATGTAAAGCAGAGTAATTCACAAGTTTTTACGATTATTTGCGTTGTTATGGAAAGATTCATTAGCAGTAGCATGATTACCAAAGTCCTTGAGTACAAACAACTTATCAAGCGTATCTTCATATGTGTGCCTAGAGCTTGAGTATTGATTCACAACTATTTAACTACTCTTATCATCTAGAAATCTTATTTCTTATATCAAAATGTTTGTTTTTCTAACACACAAAGTTTAATCACAGCTTATCATTTCCCCATTCCAAGTTCAGTTATTAACCAGGCGGCTGTTATATTTTTGCAAAGATGTTTTGGAAGAGAAGTGTGGTGATGGGAACTTGCAGACTGTGGCGGTGGCTGCTATAGCAGACAATGCAAGCAGTTACATTCTACATCCACAGGCATCTCTCACTGTATCGAAGAAAACAGCCACCAGGTAGGTGAGGAGTTAAAAGGATGAACAGTCACTTTGATCCACTCCTAGTTTTTCCTTTTCTTCTTGCAGTTTGTTTTTGCAGTAGTTATCACAAAATTTTCTAAAGTTAAAGTAGCTGGTATGTTTTTCTTTTGATATCCACCCGATTCTGTCCCCATGCCAAGGGATGCCTACTATTTTAATTCCTGAATACTCCAGAATTCTTTTTTGCTTAAAAAAAAGAAAAAAAACCCCAAACAAAGCAACAACAAAAAAAGTCAACTCCCCCAAGACAACATTTACTCTGGATTGCAGGCTTTTTTGGTTTATGCTTTTTTTAAATCAAGATGTGAAAGAGATTAGAGTAATCTCACTGCAGCACAAATGATATATATTCAAGAAACATTTAAAATTAAGCGAGACAGTTGGTGAATGGATTTTGTGAATACGTATGTACGTGTTAGAAAAACAATGCTGGAAAGGAGACATACTGGTATGGACAAGAGGTGATGCACTTAAGCTTTAGAATAATAAACACTGAGTAAGCATTGTATCTGCCCCAGGATTTAGGGCATGGAGAAACTAGATACTTAACATAATTGGTTTTCAGTAATTTAAAATACACTAAAATGTGCAGCATTTAACAACTGTTTGATACTGGTTTTAATCTTTAGCATTCTACCATCAATCTGCATAAGAAAATTACCAAGACAATCAACTGGTGTATTTCACCATCTTTTGTCTATTATTGTCAAGCAACAATACTGAGAATACTGAATGCTCAGAGGTCTTCCTGAATGTAGAAAACAGTGGGGGTTTTTTAATACTTACATTTACTGTGAATTATTTTAACAATGAAATAGAATATGGGGAAAATTAACTCAAGGTTTTTAAGGTAAGTTGATACAGTATAGTTTGATCATATGCTGTAGGGTTATACATAATGCACTGATCTGTTACCTGTTTAGTCTAAATTGTTTCTTTCCTGGTTGTCTGTACAAACTTTGACTATATTTATTTTTCAGGGTTGTGGAAGATCCCTTTCCCATCCCTCTCCAGCCATTGCCACCAAATACACCTGCATGGGCACGTCGTCTCAGGAACTGTGAGGTGGGCTGCAAAAAATTCTGATAATGTTTTATCATCTAGATCTAAGATAATGATTTTACTCTATGAAAGGAATAATTCATAGTTGTCAAAGTTGTGTTCAAGCTTCTTGGTATTATGAAATAGTACTACTACTAGCTGGTACTACTAGCACACTTAAACACATAAAATGCTGTGGAATCCCTTCCTTTTTTGGGAATGCTAGAATAACTGACCATCAACAGCTCCTGAAGCAAAAAATGTGCTTCTGAAATCTTGATGCAATACAGCGCTGGAAAAAGCCATTGTGTGCTGTGGTAGAGTTTACTCTTGAACTGCAGTGCAAGCTCTGTTGTTTCTGCTGAGCAAATTGGTTCTTGTTGCCCTTAGTGATCCATTAAGTAAAGAATAGAATTGCTTTTGTATGGCCGAAGTCTGTAGCTGTTCATATTAGAATTTGTTGTTACGCAGAAATCAAAATCCATTTGACTTGCTGGGGTCAAGTCTGGAACTTAGAGTGTCTTAATGTCAGTGTTTTTATTTTAGATATTCTCACAGATTTTTTGGTTTGTGAGGGGTTTTTTGTGGGTTTTTTTTTGTTTTTTTACCAACATGGTTACCTGTGCTTGATTTCTCTTTTGTTAAAAAGTGCTGTCTTTATTCCCAGTGACAGCTTTTGACCTAAACAGAACTCTTTGTTTGCATATTGTTAGATGTCTGCAGAATTGTCCTGATGACTAAGATATCAGCAGCTAGAATGCATCATAAATCACTTAAAAGGAAGGGAGGAGAGATGGGAGGATTCTTGAGAGATCACCTGCCCCTTCTTCCTGCTACCAGACTCTTCTTGACAGATGTTTATTTTACTTTCTCTAATACTTTTTAAAAGGAGAACTCATATTCTCTCTAGCTGGTTCACATTTTTAGAGATCCCTATCATTTGAAGTTTGGCCACAGAAAACTGAAAATTGCAGTTGCAGGGACCTAGAAATCTAGTTTCTTTCTGTATCCACTTAGAAATATTTTTAAAATTAAATGTATTAATCTATTCCTCTTTTTATATGACTTTTATTTCATATAAATGGTACTGTCCACTATTACATCTACTTAAACATTAAAGAGGTCAGGATTAATAACGTGAGTTCTTTGATGGTGGACATACCATTTTCACAGGATGAATTACTTAAGTTGGCCAGTGAATTGTTAAAGGTCCGATAAGATGTATAACCCTTATTACTGTGTTTTAATCACATACTTTCCTGTCATAATATCCCTGTAGCTTATCTGAATCATTTCTTACAGTTTTAATTTTATAGGAAGACTTGTATTATGATCTGCTTTTTCTGTCTGAGTCTATTTATGAGAAATGTCACCTGCTGTGTTTAAAGTTCACAGCAGCAGCTTTTATAGAAGAGTTCTTATTTTTAAAGAAAAGGAAATCAAAATATTGTCTGTTTAAATGTGTTCTGAGGATATAAACATCTGCCTCTGCTTTTCAGCAGAACTATTGTCTATATGCTTGAATCCTCCCTGTGCCTTTAAAACAAAATTATTTTGTTGCTGTTCTCCCTGCAGTTAGACCATCCAAGGAGAAATAACCCAAATTCTTCCTCTTTGCATGTTATCAGCAGCATTGCTGAGCTGAGTTTGTCAGTTACACAGTGTAAATTTCCTGGAGACTTATGGGATGCATGTGCCTTTTAGTGGGCACAGACACATTATCTCAATGGGATTTGATCGTCTCACAGAATGGTTTGATACTAGTAACAGGATTAAAGGGTCCAACTGGAATTTGGAGATATAGTAGAGGTGCAGATAAATATGGCAACTCACGATTCCACTCCTTCCGTTACTTGCCAGAATAGAAACAAACAATGTTGAGATCTTCGTGACTTTCACAGGTGATGCCAGCAGGTGAAGCCATGGCATAGCCTGGGTATGTGCTGCGAATTGTGGATCCCGGCGAGCTGGCCAGGACTGAACCGCGAAGGGCAGTGACTCCTTTGGCAGTTAGTGCTGCAGGCAAACACAGAGCAGTAAAAGCTGCAGCTGTCCAAAATTAGCACTAAGCTCTGTGTTTGGTGTTTATTCCCTGACTGGCTTGAAATGTTCAGCTTACACTTGCTATGCCTAGACAGTGTAATGCTTCTGGTATCCTGCGGCTGTTAGTTCACTCAAGGAAAACTGCAGTCTTGGTGTGTGCACTTCAGTGTAAGCGTTTGTGTACCCTTGCTGAGATGAAGCTGGTGGGAGGGGAAAAAAGCCTGCTCCCTTTTTTGGTTTGAAGCTTGGCTGGAGTGAAATGATTGGAGAGTATCGGATTACTTTAAAGTAATTACACTGTTAATAAAAAGTATATTTAAAGAAAAATAGTTATTTTCTATAATCTATTTAGTTTTCAGTGGTCTGATCACAATGCGTTTCTAGCATGTTTTAGCATACTGAAACAGCATGTGATTAAAAACTGCATTAATTAACTGTACAAAGTTAAGTTCATTTATTTGTGTGGAGCAGATGGTCTCATTTGTCCATTTGCTCCTACTTGGGAAGCTTCTAGAGAGCAGGAATCCTGTGTGCTATATGATTTTCTTCTCCTCCTACACTCCTGCCAATTCTGGGAAAATTATTTATCTTGCACAGAAGTAAAGCCAAAATAGGAGACAGTGCTTTAACTGCTATTGCTACTTTTCAGACACAACAGTTTTATCAGTCTTCTCATCTCCCTAGAATAAGGTCAATGACCTATTTATAGTGACAGGCATAAGATATGGAAAGAAAAATGTTGGTCACGCAGTATTCACTGTGTGGAGAGGTACTGTAATCCCTCTTGTGAAAGGGGGCATCCCAGGTTCCCGTAAAGAAGGAACTTCTGATGCGTCCCAGGCTGCTTTGCTTCTCCTGGATTTTTAAGATCAAGTTTTGGACAGAAATGTTATTTATAGTTTCTGGCTAAACAATTGCCAAGTTCTCTTACCACAGCTCTGTGAGTGCAGCCTATGTAGACTTTCTAAACTGCTGGAGCAGCGTGCTTGCAGTGCAGTGAGCTGCTGAAGTGTAAGCAACTGCTATCTCAGAAGGATTCATGCAGCTGGTGCATACATAACCCCCTGCTTTTGGGCTTGCACTAGCAGCAACACTGTGCTGACCCAGTTCATTCACAAGGTGTTCTGTTCTTTGTTGACTTTCAGTCTTGCTAACCACAGACGTTTTGTTTTTCTTCGGTGACTATGAGGCAGGTTTTATGCAGTTGTCACTAAAGTAGTTGTGTAATAATCTTGGAGAGATGCTGTTGCTGCTTTTATTGCCAGTATTATGTAAACATCTGGCTGCTCTATCACTGAAGGTGACAAAATAGATCCATCAGACTTTAGTACTCATTCACCATGTGTTTGCCCCGCAGAGATACTCTAAGACTGAGCTGGCAAACTTCTCTGTTATAACCATCCAGCTGCTTGGTCAGCCTAATCCTGAGCTGCATATGAACAGAAGCAAACATGGCATTCTGAATTCAGATGGCAAGCTCTTCACTGTCCCAGTGCTTTTGCTGCTTGCTGTCTGGCCCTGGTAGACTAGCGCTGAACCAGCTGTGATGGCTCAGAGTAGCTCAACAGCTGTCACAGGGGATGTTACAAAGTCAGCAAGTTTGTGGGGGGTTTTTTGTGGTTTGTTGGGGTTGGGTTTTTTTGCTCTGAGTCAGGTCAGATTCATTTTTTCTGGAGTTTGCCCAGAGCTTAGTGATTGATTGAAACCATCATCAGTTTGCACATGGCAAATCTGGTATATTATGTTTCCATGTAATGCTGAGAATCAAGAGTCCCTTGAATACTGGGAAGGGTATTATGTAAGCCGCTCAGTTCACAGTTAGTGCACTAAGTGGGTGAGGCAGTTACTGGGGCTATAAGCAGGTATATTCTGCTCCAGCTCAGTGCAGTGTGTCTGTGTGTTGAAGTAGATGCATAGACAATTTTCAGTGCTTTAGAGATTCTCTGTGGGAGTCAAGTGAAAATGTTTGCAGGAGATAAATTTGTCTAGGAGGTGACTGCAACTGAAGTGTGTGTTGGGGCAAACAACAGGAGCAAAGTTGTCTTATGGAAATCATAGCTGGCAGCAACTGTAAACTTTTCAGGGATTCTTGGTGTTTTTAGGGTCTTGGAGGACTGACAAAATCCTAACCTCGGTGGGGATTTTTTTGGTGTTAGATCCTATGGTAAATTTATTTCTGAGGATACTAGTGAGGAGAAAAAAAACGTGAAATGCCAGAAATCTGGACCTGTGTCCTCACCTGCCAGAGTCCCTGACTGCTTTTGTTTTCTTGTGTAATGTTCAGCAGTCAGCTGGGTGAATAATCATATTATTTCACCTCCTTTCCATGCAGAAAATTGGGGACTCGTACCGCGGCTATTGTGTGAGCGAGACAGAATTAGAGAGTGTACTAACGCTACACAAGCAGCAAACACAAAGTGTGTGGGGGACGCGCCAGTCTCCAAGCCCAGCCAAACCCGCCACACGGTTGATGTGGAAATCTCAGTATGTCCCATATGATGGGATCCCCTTTGTCAATGCAGGTAACTAACTTTTATTGTAATAACTCTTTCAAAATTTCAACATCAGTTGCCGACTGGCCATAAAGAAGGATCTTTATGGTGTTCCTCAGTCTTGATAAAGTCAAGGCACAAACAATTAAAAAAGAAAAAAGCAACTTGGACACCTCTGTGATACATTGTGAAAGAGCTTGTTTCCCTGAAACCACAAGCTTATGTTTTGTTGTGATTGCTTCCTTTTGTTCTTTAGAAATAAATTAGTTAACTAATGGGGGTTCTTGTGATGAGAACTTTAGGTGGAGATCCCATCTGCTCTATCAGGTTGTGAAAATTCTCATAAGGGTAAAAGTTTGTTTGACTATTCTTGCCTAACCTGTAGATCCTTTGAAGAGTTTGTTCCACAGGAGCCAATAAATTATTTAAATGGCACCCTTTTAAAAAAAAATAAAAATCAAAATAAACATCTGCATTTCTCAGCAGACAGATTTTAATTTTTTTAAATTTATGTGCAGACTTCACAAGTTGGTAATTACATATTTAACTCATGCAATGCATATGAGAAATTACTACGAGTTCATTTGGGTATGAAAGGAACAGGTTTTAATTGTGTAAAGATCATGAATGATGGAATGTAGGTTATGTGCTGGGTTGTTTTTTTTTTCTGAAAGTTACTAAAAAGTGAAATGTTAGCACCAGTTTTATACTTGACATTAAGAAAGGTAAGAATAAAGCCAAAACAACTTGAACTTTTATTTTTCCCCATAATGCATGCGACATGTTTAGTTTCTGTAAGATCTGCATGATAAATTAATTGCCCCATAGTAAAATACTTAGAGCAAAACCACACGTAGATTTATTTTCTTTCAAGTGTTGTAGACTAATAGAGACTCAGATTATTAAATTGTAATATTTTTTGATCTGCTCAGACCCCTGAACAGGCATTATGCGTATTTCCAATGTGTTGCCTTTCCAATATATTTAGGTTTAGTTTGTAACTCCTCTATGAAAAGCAATCATTACAGTCCTTTATACCTGTAGAGCAGAGGCTGTAAATGATTTACTGCGCTGCAGTTTAAATCCCAGATAACTGAATTCTAAACTGTGCAGGACAAAATTGTTGTTCTTGAGGAATTTATCTCTTCTGCATAAGTGGAGTCAATCTGTAATAGCATCCCTGCTGTTCTTCAGCTATGGGGAAATATAGAGAAGCTGGTAGCTCCCTATAGTGTAAAACATGCACTAATCGTCAAATTCTTGATTGTTATTTTTAATAAGAATTTTGGATAGTTGATCCTTTTGTAAAAAAAAAAAAAAAAAAGGGCCCCATCAAATTGCTTTTGAGATTCATATTAGCAAGGACTAGTTTAAAGCTGTTGAAGTCTCTTCTAGAACTTCGATTTAGTTATATTTTAAATTTCTTATTTATTTGCAATGTTTTTAAATTTTTTTTTTATGTCACACTCTAAGGCAATAGATCATTTGGTATCTTATGGAAACACATTATATTGTTGTTGTGGTACTTAAAAAGGTTTTGGTTATATCACTTTTGGTACGGGCAGCTCCTTGCCTGCATACTGGAGTATATGAATTATAAATAAAAGATAACTAAACATGACATGAAAGAAATTCGGAAGTTCCTTTCTTGACCACTTTAATGCTATACCTGTTATGCTTTTGTTAGAGGTCTGACTGGAAGAAGTCCGTTCAAATTTAGAGCAAAGCAGTATTTGTTTAAGTATGGTTTTGTGTGGATATGCCACACTGAAACTGTTATTTAGCTGATAAGATAGGTCAGACTTGCAAGTAAGAATTTATGGGACAGATGGTCTGAAGTAGTGATTTAAGACAGGAGGATGGTGATAGCTGCTGACCTGTGATTTCATCTGTGATTTTTCTTGATTAGTTTGGGGATTCTCCTACTCTTATGTTTATTACCAGCATTGTGCTCCTTTGGTAACTTGCAAGACTGCTCACCTTGTAAAGTATTGGTGTTCACCAGGGCAGAATCCAGTATTTTGCCTTCATATATGTTGCAGGAATGTTGTGAGGTGTAATAAGTGTGGGAAATTCTTTGACAATGCTCTGTGTTCCTTACCTTCTGGTCTGATGGTAAACAGAAGTAACTGTTTTGAAACTCTCATCTTTTGTGTAGTTACTGTTTTACTGTCATAACTTCAGTGGTTGCTTGAATAAATTGGGCATTACTTTCTGTTCCCAGGAAGCAGAGCCATTGTAATGGAGTGCCAATATGGGCCAAGGAGGAAAGGGTTCCAGCCTAAGAAAGCTGGTGAGCAGGAAAGCACCTCTGGCCATGTGTACAAAGCCACCTGTCCAGCAAGGTAAGAATTGTCTATAAAGCTAGAAATGCTACTTGGCATCCTAAGAAAGCATTCCTTGTGAGCCCTGGCAGACCACTGCTTGGGCATGGTAGCTGATAGCTTCGTCTCCTTGATAACTTGAGGTTAGTACTCATTTAGAGGGAAGGAGGAGATGCTGTCCTGTTAAACTGAATAAGGCTGAGATTTTATAGGTTGCCTGGATGCAAAGTAGCAGTACATTATGATGTGAAATACAAGTGGGAACCACTCTCTATCTGAGCATTAGTCAATTATTGTGGTGTTCTTTAGTGAGCATTTTTGGTCCTAAAACTTTGTCATCTTATTTGTTGTTTTTTCACTGCACTCATATCAGTCAATCATCTTAATTTAGCAGATGTCCTGTTTTCTGAAGGAGTTACAGTTCTTCCTGTTCACTGGAGACTTTCTCCTTCTCCAACACTAATGGCTTTTCTCTTTGTCCTTGAGCATCCTCCTGGGTGCTTGTTCAGTTTTTACTGAGCTAAAAGTGTATTTACCTGGCCAGTTGCAGCTAGGTATGTATGTGCTCAATTCTGGCTTCCAACTGGGTGAACTACAGCCTGGTCAGAAATGATGATGTGCTTTTGCTATACTGAGGGACAGAGGGGTTTTGCTGAGGTGCAAAATCACTCTGGTTGAGTTGCTTCTAGACCAGAAGTGTGCCTGTCTGCATCCATCTTCATCCGTCTCTTGTTGGTGTGTCCTTAACAATTCTACAGCTCTCTTAGAGATTACTCACCCCCTGCAATGCTCTGCTTGAGCTTTTTCTATACTGATACCTGATACGAAATAGGTGGGGTTTTTGCCTTCCCCCCCTGAGGGCAAAGAGTACTGAAGGAGGATTTTTTTTTTCTATTTCTCCTCCTCCTCCCTCACCTTGGAAGGATCTATATTAAAAAGGTTCAGAAGTTCCCAGAATACAGGGTTCCTACTGACCCTAAAATTGACAAGAAGATCATAAGAATGGAGCAGGAGAAAGCATTCAACATGCTGAAGAAGAACTTGATAGATGCTGGCGGTGTCCTCAGGTAAAACTTCCACTTTTATTTTGACAAATGAAGTAAAAAAGAGCCATAATTTGCTTGGTTTGCTTTATTTTTTACTTAGTCACTTTATTAAGGCCCTTGCCTAATATCAATAGTAAAAAATCCCCGAATGTCCATGAGACTTCTGTGTCTCTGGAGTATTAATTTGGTAAATGTGTTAAGCACCAGGCTGTGGCATTTCAGCAGGTGTTTTCATGCAGAGAATAGATAGAAATAGTTCTATTATTTGGGGATTTGAGCTCGTTTATTTTGCATTGAAAGGTGTGAGAGGGCCCTGAACTCTGAAAGGCAGTATCTTCCAGCTCAGGAGCTGTAAAAACTTAAGTCACTCTAACCATCTTGTTGGTTATCACGTGTCATGATTGTCAGACTCTTTCCCCAAGAGACTCATTTTTGTGCCTTTGCTTGAGATTTGTTTGTAGAAACTCTTTCCTTCTTGACAGGTGGTATGTACAGTTACCCACTCAACAAGCCCACCAATATCATGAAATGGAAACTTCCTGCCTCCCCTCTTCACCCTCCCATTTTTCTGTGTCTTCTCCTGAGGAGGAGGAGGAAGTTGTTAGAGATGAGAACTGTACTCTGCCTTCCCGACTTCATCCTCAAGTGGCAGACAAGATCCGAGAACTGGTGTCTCAGGGAATAGAGCAGGTCTATGCAGTGAGGAAGCAACTAAGGTACAGAACTGTCTGGCACATTCTCAGTCTGTAGTGCTATATCTACTTTTGCATTTGATTAATTTGGTTTGCAACTAAATGGCAGTGCTGATGCATTACTGAATATATTGTCCATATGTCATGAGAATCTGTTTTCCCAACTTTGGTCTTCTCTTTACATTTTGTTGTAGGTAGCCACTGAGAGCTGCTGTCCTCTTCAAAGTTAGTTGAATAAATGGGGTTTTTAATTCCAAACTCTGTAGCAGGTGCACAAAGAGCTGGGTTAGAAGATCATCTAGGTTACTCACCTAGAGCATGCAACAAGGGGAGGGAGAAGGTAGCAGCATTTATAACAGAGAAATAGCATAATGTATTTTAAATACACCTATTTTGATGTCCTTTAACATGTGACAGAAAGTATGTGGAAAGAGAATTATTCAAGCCTGATGAAGTGCCAGAAAGACATAACCTGTCCTTCTTCCCCACTGTGAATGACATCAAGAACCACATTCATGAAGTGCAGAAGTCCCTGAGGAATGGCGAGATGGTGTATAATTCGGAGAGTATCCCAGCAATGGTACGTTGGCCTTTGTGCTTCTTTTTGATATTTTTGAGTTAAATACTGGAAATCTTACTTTAAATTTTTACCATTTAGCTGTATTTCATCCACAGTTTTCAATTACTCTATTTCCAGCAGCAGTATTTTCAGTGGAATCTCTGTTTGAGCAAGATTGGGTTACATGTGAATAAAACCTTCTGACCTTATTCGGTATTTATCTCATTTACATTAGATTGGTATTAGTTGATTGACAAATTATGTAATACTGGTACTTCATGATGACTGCATGAACTGAAAACTATGTGGTGTAGAAAAATTGTCACACATCAGAAAATTTTATTTGTGTCTCTGTCGCTGTCTGTGTTTTGGAGAAGTTACTACTACTTTTCCATATCTGAAAAATGGGGATGAAGTATGTCTCAGGTGCAGTCTAAACTAGGGCTTACACAACATTTTCAATATGTAAATATTAATAAATGCACTTTATAGCAAGTGAAGTAAGCATGAAGTACATACTTCAGAATGCTCAGTGACTCTTACATGTTGTTCCTTCATTTTCTTTCACCTGTTGAGTAATAAGGGATACACAGTAATCCTAGTTTTGCCAGTTATGAGGCTTACTGCTAAGGAATTGCTGATTTGAAATCAGCTTTGGCAAACTGTACTCTTAAATCATGCTGTGTCATCAGTCTTCTCCCTCTCCCTATAATGCTCTTGGCCCAGGTGAGTGAGTGATACTTGATAGCCAAATGGTTTGGCTGTTTTCTATCTTAAAGTCTTTGAACTGTCATGAGCAGACTTTAGCCTCCCTGGTACAGTGCGTGTAAAAAAATATTTTTAATTTTTTTTTTTTTGTAAACCAAGAGCTCCCAAAATACATCATTATAAGAAAATAAGAAAGTGTAGTTTAGACACTGTTTTGATATGGGTACTGTATTAAGCCCATGTTCCTGTGGTAGACAAACTTGCACCCTTTCTGAGAACTGAGATCTTTTTCCTTTCAGCTGCAGTGGACCACAGACAGTGGGAATGTTCTCACAGAAACAGTGACTGTTACGTTTGCCTCACCACCTTCAGATGGTAGGACTGCCTTAATAACTTAGCTGTCTCCAAGTGTGATTTGTTGTTTTATTCAATATGTCACAGAAGTTCAGTTTCCTTCCAGAGGTTGCTGTCATGTTCTGTCGCTCAGCTGAACTTAAGGAGGATTATTCTGCTATGTCTATTTTGGGCATACTTTTTTTTAACTATTTGCATGCATGTGTGGCAAAATATGTGTAGTCATGATGGGGTTGTCAGAAGTATGAAAATTATAAATTTGGCTTTTATTTAGCATCCTCAAAAACTGAAGATTTTAATAGGATGGTTGTGTGGAAAGAACATTTTACCTTGGATGAAGGTGCTAACAACACCTCTGTAGAGAGAATTAAATTCCTACTGAATAGGGCACACAGAACCTAAGAGCCATCTGGGTACTTGAGTTTCTTGATGGTTTGTGCTTCACACATGCGTAAACATCTTGTTAAAAAGGACTCAAATGCATATTGGGATTCTTGCTTCTCACGAAGTCATTGGCTGGATGAGTTCCACTGCTAGGATCATGCCCTGAACAACAAACGCTTGTACTTCTGTTGTACAGCCTTGAGAGCACTCTTCTCCATTTTTCCTTAATGCTTAGGATAGAAATAGAAACACAGGTGTTTAGTAGCAGCAGAGCTGTGAGATTTTCTTCAGTGCTTTATGTGGTGTAACTTCTTTATTAATGTGTGGAGCCAAAGTAGCATCACTTCCAATGATCGTTAAGCCACCAAAACAAAGTATTAAACATCCCACTCTGCTGCAAAACCGGAGTGTAGATAGTGTAGATTTCTGTAGAAACTTGGTTTTATGCATTCATGGTCAGAGGTCTGGTTTTTTTGAAGGACGCATGTTACGTTATTTTTCCTTTGTTGAAAGTGGGTTCCTACTACTATTACTTCGACTTCAAAACATGTACTAAATCAAAATACAGGTGTTTGTAACTAGATCTATTTGCTACCCATATAGTTAGGATTACATATAGACTGAGATGATCCTCTGGATCATAGTGGCTGTTAATATAAAATAAGATTATTCTGCCTTTTTCCCCAGGTTTCAAGGATATTTTGTCTAGTGTGACACCAAAATAACTCTTCTGCATGCTTGTGGATGCTTTTCCCCATCCCTTGTTTAATAGGTTTGATGTGAAGCTCATCAAAAAAAGATAGCAGGTATATGATTGCAGCAAGGTGGAAGAGACTGATGATTTGCATACATCAAGATGATGCTGCAGACTGCTGAGTTTTTAATCTCAGTGGCACTGCCAGCTTGTTTCTCCATTTAACTGGAACGTGGCAGCGGGTACTTTTTTTTCCAGACAGCTGATAAAAGTGTACAGGAACCAAGGGGGCGCTGCCATAGTTGTCATGTTTAAAGGTTTACTTGTGTTGACAGTTATTCTCCACTGTGGTTTTTGCCTGAAGAAGTACTGATGCATTTGGGTTTCTTTCTCCTTTGGCCCCTGTCACTCCCTGACCTATTTCTCATCTTTGTTGTAGCAGGAACTAAAACCCCACAGAGGTTTCGCTCACTGTGTGATATGTCCTAAATGACTTGGTAAACCTGATTTATGTGAAGCAGTTCCATATACACCAGTGCATTTACAGTTAATAAGAAGGCCAGTCTTGGGCTTTGTTTTGCTTGGGATTTTTTTAAACTATTATCTTAGATCTTGCTGCAGTGGATGAATTTGAACTGAAAAACATCATGTATCCTTGGTGCTCTTAGGGTAAGATTTTCAGTGTTGACAACTGTCAGAGGACAAGAGGTAAATTTTTAGGCTCAGTTAGAATTGTGTCCCTCTCTTTTATTTTTTAGGAAAAAAAGGAATTTGCAATATGAGCAGACTTAGCGTACTTAAACTTGCATGTCTATGTTAATATTTCCATTACTCATTACTACACTTTTATGGAGAGACACAGAATAGTTGTGCCCTCAACAGCTGTGATAGAGCTTAGCAGGGATGACTTTTGGTATGAACTGTCTGAATGATGGAGAAGGTTCAGAAAGACCAATTCTTGCTTGCTTTCTTTGTCTTTCACAGATAATTTTCTAAGGCAGAGTAGCCTATCAAATGTGTAAATGTCCATTCAGTGGCATACTGAATTTTAAAGGAAGCTAGAGAATTGGATTTGTTTTTCTGCACATGTGCACCAATTCACTAAATATAAGCAGATATTCTAATTCCAGCGTATCTTGTCTGCCCTTATATATGTGGGTATGTGTTTGTATGCATTGCAAACACATGTTTATAATTGTATTACAAGTCTAAGCAAAAAAAGAAGCCTGACAGAAAAAAATCATCTCTTGTTAAATTATGTGAAATGGTAGCAAGGGGAAACAAGACTGACTTTTACGACTACTGTTTGTATGCGTTTTTCATTTCAACGTGCTGAATGGGGACAAATTTACATTTAAGAAATCAAACAATAACAGAACTAAACCCAGCTGTTTGTTTTCATGTGCAGAACTCCATCTCGCCACGTGATACAGCTTTCTCAGTTCTCTCCTAGATATAAGAATCACTGTAACTATCAAACTTAAGGCTGCTCCCACAAGTGAGATAAAGTACCTGTATGTATATATATATATTTTTTAACTTCTGACATTCATACTGAATGCCCATGTAGTGTAAGGAGTGGATAGATTAGGAGTTCAACTATGAGCTTTATTCCTAGGCATGCTGGTGTAGAATACAACCTAAGGAAAGAACTGCCATCTCTTCCTACATGTGAATATTCACATACGCATATGGAATCTCTATAGTATTAAAAAGAGCCTAAATATTTGAAGTAGTTCTGTTCAAGGAGATTTTATAGTGTATCTTATGGTCAGTTATGATAAAGAGAGTTTGTAAATCATTATGTATGTTGAAAAATGTATCACCATACACTTAAATTGCTGGAAATTTTGTATGATTTCCTGTAAGAAAGCTTTTTGTGACTGACCGTTCTCAGTTTTCTTCCATTCACTAGGCTAATCTACATGCACATAGCAAGCTCTTTTACAGTTATAGCAGTGAGACTGTGAAATAAGAGGCTAAGCAATGTCTACTTCTGTCTGGATAAATCATAATCAAATCTCTGGGTGGCTCAAACAGGAAATAGAATGATCCCATGGGAAGTTTTCTTGCAGAATTGCTGCAAGTGAATCTCAGTTTTTACAAGTCTTCAGGAAATGAAGGCCATCATTCTTGCATTAAATAAGAATTCTGAGGATATGATGTAATCTGTAGCTTGAAAGGCCTCCTGATGAATGGACTTTTGGTGTGATATTGCAGAGAAGTTATACCAGTTCCACAAAGATGTTTGGAAGGGAGTAGTGAGACTTATGGGATTTCCTGTGTAAATTTTTATTTTGGAAGACAACTGTTTCTTTTGATGCCTATCCGTTATCAAGCCCTTACTGAGGTTTATGTATCATCAAATTATTTGATAGCTGCTTTGATAGAAATGTTTTCACTTTTATGTTGAAACAAGAAATGCAAAGCATAATGTAGGGTGCGATTACTTTGCTCTCCAAAATGGATTTATTGGTGCTTCTTTTTTTCACTTTGAACAGTCACATACAATCTTCCTACAGTATTCTTTTTCTCATACCCAGCTTTTTTTCTTCAGCATCCAAGTTCTGCAAAGACAACAACATATGTGTAAATACACGTCTTTTATATGTCTACATTGAGATTGAAGGGGTTTGTTCAGTTTGCAGGGGAGGCTTTTAAACAGGAAGAAAAAAATTTGTTGTAACTGTCTGCTTCCTCTCTGTGGCTCTGTAGGGAGCTCAGCATGCGAGTCAGTCGTCATGAAAGCAGAATCCAACCAGAGCGGGGAGACCGTGCTACCAGAAACAGCCCAACTGTTGTCTTCACTCTCTTCTCTTCAGCCCAAGATATTTGCACAACTTCAGGTATGGTCAGGTTGTTTACAGAATGTGAGACATTCTGTGCTGGGGATGCTGAAGGTGAGCTGAGAACAGCAAGTTCCCTCTTAACTAATGATCCCAAACACTGGCTAGATAACATGGGCTTTGAAATAGCTTTCAACTCTTAGTTTGGCCTCTCTTGCATGTCACACTTTGCATGTAGCTGTGGTGCAAGAGGTGCTACTACCATCTTTTGACACTTTGAAGTTAGGGTCTCTTGTGAAAGCAAAACCAAGAAGATGAAGGTAGTGGGCTTCTGCCTCAAACTCATTTTCCATGTGGTCTAGTCATTCATAATGAAGTGCAAACCTGAGGGCTATAAGTCAGTCTTATTATTCCTTTTAAGTCCTTCTCCAGCCTCTTAAGAAAACACGTTAAAATCCTAAAACTACTCCCAGCTCAGATCTGTAAACTTACAGGTTGAAAGGCTAAAGAATGGGTATAAGAATGTCATGCTTAAAAGAGCTTCTTCTAAAGCTCATCTCCCTTCAAATCTGGCTCTCAGCCTTCTTCCCTAACTACTTCCTTGAAAAGCTAACTTCCAATGAACCCCAATGAAATGCATGATCTCTTCCCTAGAAATACAGTCTGCAGTAATACAATGTTCTACTTGTTGTTTCTTTCTCCTCCTGAAGACAGCCTGGCTCCACCTCACTTTTTTTTTTTTTTTTTTTTTTTTTTTTTTTTTTTTTTTTTTTTTTTTTTTTTTTTTTTTTAATTAAAGCAGTATGCTTAGCTTTTAGTGCCCACTGCTTGTGGGAATGGGCAGTACTGGGGAATGATTTGAAACATGAGTATCAGTCCAAAATGAAAGCTTTTTGGTCATAAGCAGTCTTGTAAATGCTGCTGAATACCATTGTCTTAATTGTTTCCTAATACAGCTTTAGCCTAGGGTTGCTGGGATTGACTGTTCGAAAGAGGTGATATATAGGAAGTCAGAAGCTCTCTAGTTCCAGCATTGCAAAATAAGTGCCATTAAGTAGAAATTCCTCCTGGTGTGAATACTGGTATGTTAGTTCTTCTGCATTTTCTTTCACAGGGATTACAGCTGCAGTCAACTTTTACCTCCACAAATGGATCAACAGCCCTGATAGCTGTAAATAACCATTCCCCTTCTAGCCCTGCAAGTCTCCTGGATTCCATAGGGAGTGCAGTAACCAACCATTCTCTAGTACTTAGTCAGGGACACAGCCTGCAAGCAGGTGCGGGCCTAACACAGTACAGTGCTGCTGCCTCTGCTTTTGGGACTCCACCTGGCTCTGATCAGAGTCTGGTCACCATGGGCCAGTTGGTAGCAGTTGGAGGGGTAGATGACTCCAGAAGCCTAGAAGGAGGAGTCCATCAGATACTCTTGGGAGATGTACAGACTATTCCAGTACGGATTGTGGACAGCCATCCAGCACTTAGTAAGTTGCAGTCTTCCCAGTAATATGTAAATACAGAAAATACAGTGGATTTTGTTCTGTGTGTCTTGAAGAAAGGAGAGAAATGTGTTGGTAATTGGGATCTCTAGCATAGACTTCTTACAGCTAATTCTAATTAGTTTTTACTGTGAAAACATGATGACTGTAGAAAAAAAAACAACCAAAAAACCAAAAAAACACAAAACCAAACAAAAACCCAACCCAGAACTTAGTTACTTGCTGTAAAAAGGTGACTTCTTAATTAAACTGCTTATCACTTTCTTTAACCAAATACCAGCTTATTTGATGAACACAATATTTTTGCCAAGAATACTAATATTTAGCTAAAATTATTTAATAAAAATATTTTTTAAGGAAAAATAAGAATAGAATAGCCAATACTGAATCTAGTTAGAACTCTTTGGAAAGAAATGTGGGTTTTCTGATGACTTTGCATCATTCCAGCAGATTTCTGAATTTTAGTAAACTTTTACTAGGATCCTATAGTCCTCAATACGCTTTAGAAGCGATCAGTTGGAGTTGTATGCAATTGCTTGGAATTTCAAACTTCTGTTTGAAAGTACTTCTTAAAAAATGCACAATAAACACCATAAAATAACCCTCCCTCCATCAAAATAGAACACTTCTTAAAACCATTGTTATAAAATATAGATACAGTCTTTGAATTCCCAGCCATGGAACCTGATTGAGTGTCCATGATGACTCTTGAGTTGTTTTGCAGGAACATCTAGGTAAAGATGTGCTAGATCATGGCCTTACACCTTCATAATGTCATAGTGATAATTATCTCCATATGTCCTGATCCTCCAGATCAGCAAAACTTAATTTGTACTAAATTCTGTAATATTCTGAAAATGGAAATAGAAGACTACATGAAGAAATAAAAGGGAAATAAAGGGTATATGGGGAAATATACTGAAATTCATACATGTTAAAGTAATATTGGGATATTTTACTGTGGCAGTATCATCACAGTTAAATTTAAGGAATTTTCTGCCTGGTGTATTCATATGTTTGTGTTGTTTTCCCTTTTATAATTGAATTTGACTACTGAGAAATTCTGTTTTTAGGGTAAAGAATTTCAGAGGAGTCATTAAATGCACCTCCTCCATTCAGTTGTTTAACCTATTTGTTCAATCTAGAAGTTGATGCCTCTCAAAAAGTTTTGTTAAGTGATGAATGTTGTGAGTTTTTAATGAAATACTCTTTTACACACAAAAAAATGTAGTCAAATCTAAAATACTATAACTGCAAGGACTAAACTCGCTGTTCCTTTGGGATTTCCTGAGGGTTTTTTTTGCTCAAGGTCTCAGTCTAACATCACCAGCCTGAATTTGTAAACTGTGAGAATATTGGTGCCATTCCTAACTTATGTGGAGGAGTTGCCTATAAAATGAGCAGATCCTTTTTTTTTTTCTTCAGAGACAAGTTCTTTGTCTGGAGAGCAGGAGGACAAAAAGCAGTCTTAGACTGAAGAGGAAATAATGTTACAGAGCTTATTTGGAGGAAACACCATATACTTGAATTTAGCAGTTCAGTCAGTGTGTATATCAAGGTATTTTTTTCTCCTGTGTCTGTGCATACCCTTATGCACATGTGCACTTGGTTAAAATTATCCTGTGTGTTCTGGATTTTCTTTTGTCCAAGTGCTAACTTAAGAATAAGCTACTTCCTGCTGAAAATGCATGTGCGGTCATTGAGAAGTGGCCAGTCATGCCTGAATTGTAAGTCGTTCTCTAAATCAACATGTTTTACAGTTGGTGTTTTCTGCAATAGCACCTCCATTCATCCTTTCCCCTGGGGGGGGAAAAAAAAAAAAAAAAGGTAGCTTTATTTTTCCATGGGAAAGAGGAAAGACGTTTTGTGTGAGAGTAATTAATTTGATATGTCCAAACATACTATTTTTTTATAAAAATTGAAGTATTTTTAAATGCATAGTTATAGGGGCAGAAGCATTGTCAGTGGAGTTTGAACTTCAGTGTTTGATTTTTTTTGTTTTGTTTTTAAGCTGAAGAAAATTCAGAGGGTGTTATCTGTGTGAGCCAAGTTAAACAAGAGCCAAGAGAAAAAGCTTTGTCTATGGAGCCAGATAAAATCAGAGACTGCTGTAGTTCCTCACCTATTTAAATCTGTGAAGCCTGGAAGGATTTTTCAAATCGGAGAACTTGGAAGGAAAGGCGGGTACTCTCAAAGTAATGCCGTTCTTTTTAAATCATATTGTGACATTCAGACTAGGCATATTTTACACTAGTTCTGACAGACAGCTGTTTTATTTTGACTGATGTGGCTCACTGCCAATCCCAGGTCATTCACTTGCCCTGTGGAACACCACTTCTCTCTTCTGTTTCAAGTTTTGAGTAATTTGGATGCTATCCAAATGGCCTGTTTTGGTCAGCATTTCTGAAGGTCTTCCACAATTTAATTCCTTAGCTTTAGAATGTGGATCACAATGCTGGGTTTACTTTTCTCCTTGAGACCCTCGACTGTTACGGCACTACAGAGACCATAGAATCTGCCAGCTCCAAGACCACAGAACCCAACAGCAAAGTGTACCTATACAGCAATGGTTTTGTGAAAAGTGAAGGTCCGAGACGCTAAATTTCAAAGTGATGAAGGACATGGATGCTTAAGAAAATGCAACTTTAACCTGATCTAATGTTAATGGTGTGAAGATCAAGGAGAAGAGAAAGGTGAGGTTGCCAGGTGAACATAAGGCTGTATGATGAAGAGGAGTGTGTGAACTGTAATGGTGAATGTTTTCAACTTTGACATCTTTGAACTTATGTTTTGGCTTCATAATGAGGTTGTTGCTCCATGCAGCCTTTGCAGTGGTACTGTATTAGCAGTTGGTCATAGCAACTAAAGAAGTTCTGCCTCATGGAAAATGATTGATGCTGCCATTTCAGCTTTATCTACTTTTTTCTGTATGGACACTTACTCTATCAGCTCAGATAAATATGATTTAACCTGCTGCTTTTAGTGATGTAGGGCTTATGGATACATTACGAACAAAGAGTGGTCCAAGAAAACAAAGCAAGTGTTTTGGGTTTTTTTCCATGGGAAAGAGGAAAGACATGTTGTGTGAGAGTAATTTTCTATCTCCAAACATGAGTCCAAGCTATATGTACAAGTGTGCTCTCAGTATAACATTCAGAAAACAAACATCTTTTCCATCAGTGGCAGCTTCTAAGACTAAAGTGATCCATATTACTTAAAATAATTACCAGGAATCTTTAAAAAACCAAATATAATAAAGATATATATTTTAGCAATATTTAAGCAAAAGCCATAATAAGTGACAAGGACTGAGTTGCATAATCTGACAGACATATTTCTTTAAGAAAAAAAAGACACCTACAAATAACTTGGATTCCATTTAAAGCAGTAAATAAAATTAAACTGATGCCAACATGGATATCAAGTTAAACAATGACATGTGTTTTCTTCAGATGTTGAATTCTTAGAACAACGGTCAGAATATTTTGTATACAGCAGTATAAGCAGTTCTCTTATTAGTTCCTAAGTGGTTGAGAGCTTGATCATAAAATTAGATATTTTTTCTGCATGCTGTACAAGAATGCAGTTTAAGGACTTTCTCTTTTTCAGACTAAGAAACAAAACAAAACCCAAACCAAAAGTATTATATGAACATAGAGATTGACATTTTTAAATTGTTAAATTTGTTAACATACATTTAAGTCATTCACAAACATCATCTAAATAGTGGCCATTTAAAATTAATTGTTATTTTTCTTTTGAGTATTTAAAGCTAAAACTTTAAAAAGTCTCACGTTGAACCCAAGTTCCTAATGCCTTTATATGCAGCATCTCTTAGGTAGGTGCTATATCTTAGTCTTACCTTAAAATATATTAACTTCTGTGAGGTTAATTAACATTGTTATGGCCGTTCATTTAAAGCTGTTTATGAATTAGTTTAAATAAGAATTTTCCAACAGAATCATATTCTTATTAAATAGGAGTCAGTATTTTATCATGCAAGTGCATAGAGAATCTCCAGTGCTTTGGAGTCTCTCATACTTAGTTTCTACACTGTCTTGTTTTGTGGTATGCCTTACTCATTTCTGAGTAGGTAAAATTCAACAGGGTTCACCCTTTGGTGATTTTATTTTTTTTTTTTTTTGGTCATCATTGTTAATTGTGAAAATATGTCCAGAATGGATGTTCTGTTCTGCAGACATAGTTCTGGAGCACACAGGCAGTAGTCACCTTTTCTTTTCCAACTCAGCAACTATATATGAGAATGGGTACCTCCCTCCATACTGCTGTATTCAGTGATGCCATCACCTTCATTTTTTCTTAAACTAATGCATTCCAAAGTATATCACCTATCTCAGTATTCCTCGGGGTTTTTTTAGAATTGTTCCTCATTTTTTAGGTTGCTTATTCTCAAAAGAATAGATTACAGTTAAGGATTACCAGCAAGAGGTTACTGCAGTTTTAGTTCTCTTCAAAGCAGACAATACATTTGTGGTTGGAGTAAAAGCTTAAGGAAAGAGAAGTTAGATTTCCATCACTTCTTGCTAGTTCCCTCATTAACAAATCTGTTCTTTAACAGTCACTGTTCCTCCCATCATGAGTCTTATCCTGTGCTGAACAGTATTTCTGATGGTACTTCTGTTATTAGTTTAGTGCTCACAGCTGGAGGAAATACTCTTTTTAGTCCACCTTGAATTGCAGCCTGTGAAATTAATTTTATAATCTACCCAGATTTGCATGGTACCCTGAAAACAGTAGAACAAAAGGTTGGGAGAAATTTAAAGAAGCAGTAAAGAATTGTTTTTAAAAGCTGGGGATAAGAGTTACAATTCTGTTAATCAAAAAAAGTTGTTTGAAATTCTTCTTCAGCCAATACTCAAATTTTTGTTTTCAGTTTCCTTCATTTTCACAGAATTTAAGTTCTTTGTTTTCCAAATAGATATTCTAGTTTATTACTGTGTTATTTTTTAATTTAGCATAACCTTGCCTCTTTAAAGAGTATGTTTACATTTGTTCTGTGCATGTTGCTAATGGAGGAACACAAACTCATCACACATATCCAGTCTATATTCAGCTTAACACATTTGTTCACTAATGTCCACCTAAATCTTACAGAAAAGACTATTATGTCTATGAGGAAGGTTAGAAGTAAACAATACTACTTTCAATGCAGTTAAATTTCTTTGAGTAGTATTCTCCAAGGCTGATTTTTCAAAGAAAGCTATGTAGCATGGTACAAAGCAGTTGGTTATTACTTTGTGTTGGAATTGTAGATGTTTTTCTGATGTTTGCTTTGTTTTCTTGTTCAAGCGTTCTTCTATGTTCAAGTGTTTTATTTTGCAAACCTAGAAATCGTGAGCTTCAACAATACTGTGAATGAACAAACTCTTCTCTTGTTTATCCTTATTGTTGGTTACCTGTAACAGTGATTGGTTGGCTTTACAAGCAGGGCTGTGCTTATGTATGTGCATGCAAACCCAACTTTTTGCTAAAACGTAGAGAAGACAAAAAGGCACACATCCATAGCTCTTGTTCAAGGCTGCCAGCCTCTTGGATGGAAACCAGTAGTGTTAATGAGTCCTTTTTATGGCACAAAGATTGTTGCAGTTTGTACAAAATTCAGAGAGACAAATGTCTGTGTATGTGTGTGTGTGTGTGTATATATATATATATATATATTTATATAGTGACTTAATGTATAATATTCCTATGCAAATGTAAACTACTTTTTCTTTTAAAGTAATGGTCTATGTTGTGGTTATGGGGGCTCAGGGGGAGAAATGCAAGAGTGACTTCAGGGTAGTGGTTTCTGGGGATGAAGGAGAACAAGTAGGAGAGCACCAGGGAGACCAGGTAGAAGCAGCTCCTCAAGGTGTGTGAAAAGCAAGGGTCCTGTGGGATTGGGGGGGGGGGAGCTGGAGGGGGTTGTGCTGGGGGGCTCCAGAGCCCTGGAAGAGGGGTTGTGAGCCCATTGCAAAGGCTCATACAGCTCCTAGAATCTATGCCAGCAGTGGATAGGGTGAGTTCATGTTAGGAATTTAAAGGTATGGAAGAAGAGGGAAGCCTGTCTTGCTCTCAAAACCAACAAAGCTGCTTGAGTTTTGGTGAGTACCAGAGGCAGATAAACAAGTTCTCAGTCTGAGACACCCATTCTTATCTTCTGATATGAAGAAGAAACTCCTCTTGAAGCTTTGACCCAGGAACATAGATTCTTTTCTTTACCAAGGAAAATAGACCTTTCCACTGCTGCTCTCCTCATCCCTCTGACTGCAGCTCTATCTACCCCAAGCATGCTCGGTATCCACACCAGTCTCTATTCCTTCAAACTTATTAGGACTTCCACACGAGTTCCATGCCCTCAGGTCCTCTGATTCTCAGTGTTTCACTGTTACACTGTTGTAACAGCTGGTAAGTTAACTGCACAAGTGGTGAGACTTGCTCCTGTCAGTTTTTCTTCCTGTCTCCCATATATTCCTTTTAACTACATTAAGTTTTTTCCTTTCTTGCTTTTGGTCTTATTATCCTTACCTGGATGAATATCAGGCAGCCACATTTGACAGGACATATGTTACATTCACAGCAACTGAAAAGATCTGAGAAAACAAGGATAAAAGAATATATGCCAGCTCTTAGGGCTTTATGAGAAACTGGCCTTTTTCCTTTCATACCACTTGAGTTTCTGATTCTGGCTGTGGATATTAGCTGGCTGTTGACTTGTCTGTCTGTTGGCAAACTAACAGTTTGCTCTCCTAAGCCTATTCAAACAGATATGTTCTCAGAAGATTAGGCAGGAAGAATCTATTCCATTAGGGTTAGAAAGTGTGGTATAGCTGAAGAGTTGAAAAGTTACTGCTCTTTGTGGATCTCTGATGAGAAAATTCTGATTGATTTGCCCTTCCCTTCTGAACAAACCTTTTGTTGGAACAAAATTCAGAGCCCATCCCATCAGTAATGATTATCTTCTCCCAGCAACAGTGCACCTCATTAATGAATGAAACTAGCATTGTGTAAAACAGGCTGTGTTGATTTTTTTAGGTCAGAAGCTATCCAGCAGGTCTATCCAACAAACAATATCTAAGGTATGATTTGGGGGAAGAGGAAGGCAAAAATCTTATCACATGACAGGAGTGTATGTGTGCTCGTTTGGTTTTTTTTACAATATAAGCTCTTACACTGTAGTATCTCATTCCATTCCTAATGCATGTGACAAATGACATGTTTATTTTCTGAAGGGATTTTTATGTGTTTTCTGGAGAGTCTTCAAAGGAGTGATCATAAACAGTACTGCTGTATCACAGAAAGTATTAGTGGGTGTTTGTCATCTAAGACCCCATCCTGTTCTAGTACAGAAGGGGTGTTAAAAGTGTGGAAAGCTTTCTGAGGATAAATACTGAGTGTCCTTGTCCTGAGGAGGCTTCCATGGAAAAAAAAATAGGGGAGTTGAATGCTGTGAGAGTAATTTTCATCAGTAGTCTGTTAACCTCTGCTAGACAGAAGAAACCTTGTGAAACGCATATATATGATAACCTCTCTATGGAAAAAGTTACCTTTGGATGCTTAATAGTTTTAAGTGATATATGCGTACAGGATTGTATGTATCTTTAAAAAAAAAAAAAAAAAGGAAAAAAGAAACTAGAGACATGAATATAGTTGTTCGTATGTAGTTCTTTAATACAGTTTTAATTACACTTAACTGGTTAAATGATGCAGATATTTTAGGGCACACATAATCAGATATTTTAGTGTGGATAATTGGAATTCATGGTTTTACCACAACGATCCTTAGCTCTGCAGTGCAGCTCAGTTGGTCATTTGGCATGTACTGGCCTTCTGTTAATGACAGTCTGCTTGTTTAAGCATGAGCGTGCTGTTCTAAGTAAATTAAATTTCTCTCTCCCTGATCTTTTTTCTAATAGAGATTGATAAGGCTCATAGGAGGATGGAAATCTGTTTGTAGTATAGTGATTTCCTAAGAGTTGATTTCTAGGTCCTCAGTATGAAGGAAGTAGATTGGTCATTTTTCTAATGTATTTGGATTTTTACAGCTGGACAGTGTCAGTACAGCATAAACTACCACTAAAATACTGTTAAATTTTTAGCTCTAACCTTTGGTTGAATGTTGATAGTTCAGTGACTTCAGGAAAGATCAGGGCCTTGCTTCTGCTCTTTGTAGAATAGTCTCTAGATACTATTTAAAATGTAATTAGATATGGCAATCAAATGGTAGTAGGAGAGCCAGAAACAGAGACGTGTGTGTTGGCAGACCAGTGGAGAGGGAGAAGTTCAGTCCCAGTGCCCTCATTCCAGACTAATCTTCTCTGTGCTAGTCCTGAATGCACCTTGAGAAAGGGTGACAATTTGTCTTTGTGTTCTGACATAGCTGTTCTTTCTGCTTCCCCACTCAAGAAATTGTACAAGCCTGCAAGGGACATGGAGATCATGAAGAAGTGTGTAAGATCTTATGGGAGGACCTGCAGGAACAAAATGGAGGAGACTAAAGGTTAATGACATGACTTCTATAAAGCCCACATTCTTTGGTGGGAGGAAGAGGATTTTTCAATAAAGAGTAAATCTTCCTTTTCAGAAGTGTTAGAATTACTGGGTCTCTCTAATCTGCTTCACTCTAACAGAGCTAATCTGGAGATAAATTCTGAGGCTGTGCCCATGTGTTCTGCAATACTTGTTGAGCAGAATAAAAACTTTCCATTTCTTCCAGCTCGGAAGAGCTGCATTTGTGATTCCACCTGATGCACAGCTGCTTGTATTTATCTCCTCAAGGCTCGTGGAATTCTGCTTTCCAGCTGAAGGGAAGATAGAGGTCTCCCTGTATGAAAACTTGATGGGCAGTGTACATAGTCTGAGTGAGTTGGGAGCACCTAGAACAGTCACCATCAAGCATGCTGTAACTTAGAAATAGGAGATGGTAAAAGAAACAAGCAACTGAAGAAGATAATGATAAAAGTAGGTATTCTGTACCTTCTTCACATGATACCTTTCCTTAAACATCTTGAGAGAAACACTGATCAGCAGTGAGAGAAAAACAAATGTCAATTTCTCTCCACCCCCAATTTACAGTTTAAAAGTGGTTTTGCAAATTAGCCACAAGTTTGGCCTAAAAAGTATCTTTTAACCTAGATCGAAGTGTGCAATGTTTAATTCCTAAAGGACCATGCTAAAAACTCTGTTGTGCTTTGTCAGGTTGCTATTCTTTTAGACATAAATTTAACTTTTTTTCACAGATATTTCTCTTAAAGCTAAAATTAAATGGGAGAGAGAATTGGAAATGTTTGCTTCTTACAGATTACACTTGTCAGTTTTCTGAAGTGTGCAGGTGTTTCCTCCTTGGCTTCTACTTCTAGCTCTTAGTTCTCTATGTTTTGGATGTTTTCTCAGGATCACTTACCTCCGAGAGTACTCGAGGTACTGGCAAGAGACCAGAGTGGAGAACAGAAGAGGAAGTGTTTTTAAAAAGCTGCTTACAGGAGATTGAAAGCTGTCAAAGTTACAGTTTAGGATTGCAGTTTCTTCTGGCTGAAGTGGTTCGATTTAAATGGTAAATGTTTTCTTAATACACAACTTTTTTATTGTTGATTTTGGTGCTATTTATGCTCTGAGCTCACATGGTAATCATGTATATTTGCTTTTATCTTCAGTGCACTAGTTTTCTTCTGAATGCAAACTGGTGTAACAACTCCATGTTCTTGGCTGTTGACAAAGCTGTTATCACATCTGAGGTGTTCTGTACATGGGAGGAGATGGAGAAAGCGGGGACCTTCTTACTGCTACTGAGAACAGATGATCTCTGGAAAGGGGGCTTTACCAGTTTTGAATCAATACCTTCACAATAATTTGGTGGGTGCACAGGTTTTTCATTTCCGGTTCTAGTGCATGTCTAACTTTGAACGTAATACAAGCCATAAAATTACCTCTTCCTGCCCTCCCCATGGGTTTTTTTGTCTCCTGCCACTGTAGTCATACTCAGCACTTTTGGGGAGTGGGGGAATTGTTTTAACACATTCTCATCTTCCACTTTTCTGCCTTTCTCCCATTGCCTTTCCCTCACATCCAGAGCAGCACAGAAACAAAAATTTCTTTTTTGAAAAAAAGTGCTTTATCCTCTGTTTCCCATGTTTGGGGATTAATTTTCTCCTGCTTTATTGTGCTAGAGGTTAATTCCTTGCATGACTGAAATGTAAGATGCTGTTATGTTTTGCTTGAGGAGGGGGAGGTACTGGGTTGAGCTCCACTGCCACCTTCACTCCAGAAGTTCTTGCAGGAAGCACCTGTCACAGGTTCTGCTCCTGCACCTGTGTCTCCACAGAGGCCAGCACAACTGCAGAGCTGTGCTGCTGAGAGAAGTGTCTTGCGCTACATGTACCAGCAAATTCAGTACAAATAACTGCCCGTCTCCCCCTTATATTGTTTTAAATCGACATCAGTCTGTGGTCTGGCCCATTGTGCACCCCACAAATGACTCTTTGGGCACAACTTGAAGGGAAGTACCAGAGAGGGTCAGGAAGTTCTTATCTCCAGCTTTTAGGTTATGCTTCTATATTGAGTGCATGTGCCCAGGTGTGGGTGGCCCTGTGCATGACACAGCTGGTTCCAGCCAGCTCTACAGTGGACCCACTGCAGGACACAGCTGAGCTCATCAGTGAAGCTGGTGGCACCTCTGAAAGCATATTTAAGAAAAGGCAGAATGCTTGCATGGCACAGAGGAGCGAGGAAGAAAGTGAGAGAAACAGTCCTCTGTACACCAAGGTCAAAGAAGAACGAGAGGGAAGAATTGCTTCAGGTGGTGGAAGAGCTATTTCCCTGCAGCCCACAGAGGACCCCATGCTGGAGCAGGTGGAGATTTCTTGAAGGAACTGCAGTCCACTAGAGGGGCCATGCAGGAGCAGGCTTTGCTGAAGGACCTGCAGCCTGTGGGGAGGACCCATGGTGGAACAGGAGAAAAGCCTGAGAAGGATGGAGCGATAGAAAGGACCTGTTACAGACTGACTGCAACCCCCCAATCCCCTTTGCCTTGTGCTGCTTCAGGCTGGGGGGAGGTAGAAGGTGTGAAGTTGAGCCTGGGGAAAGAGGGCACCATGAGGGGAAGGTGCTGTTTTAATTTGTATTTGTTTCTCACTGGTTTAATCTATTTTAATCGGCAATAAATTAATTTTCCTCATGTCAACTCAAGTACTTGAAATTTATACCTAGACTCAAGTCACAGTGGAAAATACTGATTTCTCTTTGATCACTGCAAGTTGCTATGCCTTTAATTTTTTAAGTAGGACACAAAATGGATCAAATTCTGATTTTTAAGAAGTTTTTCTGTGTGTAGAAAGGAGTGCACCTCGTTTGAGTCAGGAGTTGCATTTTTGAATGTATTCTACTTAGGCCTTTCAAGTTCCGCTTATTCACCTTTTCACTAGAGTGAATCTCAGCTGCAGAGTCAACTCAGGAACAGGTCTAATCCATTACATTTCTGCTGAAAAATACCAGCTATATTTTTACAGGTTTGAGAATGGGAGAATCCTTCTGAGGAAAGGATGCTGCAGCAGTAGATTCTGCTTTATCTACTTCGGTAGTGTTCTTACAGATGTTAAGAATTCGGCATCTTCACAGCATTATACCTAGCCGTGCTTCAGAAACGGGCAGGCTTTGGGGTGAGTGGCATCTGGTGAAAGTACTGTTAATCTTGTGAAAAGAAATAAGCAGTTTGGGAATGAGATTTATATTCCTGTGCTTTTCAGAGATTATTATTCTGAATGAGAAGGGAACTTCCTTAGAAGGTAAGTTTTGTATGTGGGATCTCATACCACCTACCAAAGATATCTGGCACTGGCCACCAAGGGTATCTAGACTAGGTGACATCACGCACTTAAGGGTTTCTAATAGGGGCACTTTTTGGAATACAGAGTTGGTGGATAGCTTCCTAGCATTAGCTAAATTAATCTTTAATTTCTTCCTCTCTCTCTATGTCTTTTTATGAAAGGAAGATTTTCTGTTAAAAGGAACATGGTTAGTTGTTAGTTGTCTGTATGGAGAACACAAAGCTATTTGTGGTGGATAAAGAAGACTTCTTTGATAATAAATTAGATGAGCTTCAGAAAGGATTGCACTGTCATTAGAACTTCAAGTAATTTCTTCCAGTGATACAACTCACTTTGGATTATTGTCTTACTATTTACTTATTGTATAATCTATTCCATAAGCTTTCCTGGCTATGTCAAGGCCATAGAAGAAATGCATATAACAATTTTCTTTTCTCTTGAAGTTTTACAAAAGGGAAAAGAATTCCCTGGTTTGCAGTCTCAGACAGCCATGCTTGCTTAGCCACCAACTGTTCTGGAAGAATACAACAGTATCTGAGTTCCCTAGCCACCAAAAAAATCTTCTAGGCTGAAGTACTCCATAAATTTGTGAGCTTGGATCAGGCAAAGTGAATTTGGCATATTTAGGAAAAAAAAAAAAAAAGGCAAACTACTGTGGAACCAAATTTAGCATCTTCAGGAGCTGTAGCTTAGGGTTTATTAGTTGTAATTGTAAAAGAATCAATGTTTCCATAGTGAAACATGTTTTTATTCAGCCAGTTCAATCTATGAAAAAAAGTGTCTCCATTCCTTTTATTTCAGACTTGTGAACTTCTTTGCAAAATGTTCCAAGAGATCACTAGAGAGATTAGTTAATAAGTGCAAAATGTGAAAGTTTCACTGTGGACAGGTGACAACAAAAGATACCATAAAGCCAGCCAGCATAATTATTATTAGTAAGGTAAAGTCTTTCAGACATTAACTGCAGCCTAATACTTTTGGTGGTATGATGACATTTATTCTGGTTTTGAAAGCAAAAATAGTAATTATGAGCCATTGCAGAAAGAACTGGGAAATAAAGCACTTTGTAAAACACCAGTCTGTGTGGGTTTGGTTTCTGTTGGCTTTGTCATGCTGTTACTTGGCATTCAGCTCCTTTACGTACGCTGTGTAGTATCTGTTTTATCTGATCTCATATGTAGAATAAGTTAAAATAAGTTAATTGTTAATACATAGAGCCTGATACACCAGTTCTTCATGGCAAGATATATGATATTTCATGTATTTTCTAATGAATAGTGTTTGAAGACTACTGGTATTCAGTGTATGAATACTACTGTTTGTATAGTAGTGTTTGAATACTACTGGTAATTACTAGAGGACATTTGAGAGAAACTTCATGTGTTCTATATTCACTCTTCTATCTGTTTTGCTTTTTGAATTGATGAATTCCCATTTCTTTGTGTGCAGTTATTAGCAATGAAATGACTGTTTTCAAATAAACTATAGGTTCCTGACTGCAGCAGAAATTACTTCAGGTAGGGGAACTGGAACCATATTTAATTTTGAGTGGCCAGAATTTCCAAAGAGAAGAGACACTGGAGCTACCTCTGCACTCACAAAAACATTACCTTTTGGTCATAATATTATAAAGATCAACAAGGTTTCCAGAGAGGTTTGACTGGCATCATACACAAATATAGTATGCTGTGAGGCAGGGATGCTTCCTGCTTTGTTATGAGATGCCTAAAATACTTTGTGTTCCATTATTTAGTGTCTTGCTGCTGACATTCCAGTGGGATGATACAAAGAAGAGAGTCCACAATAAATTTTTCGTTTAAACCCAGAAACAGAGGCAACAGCTGGAATATTTTTAATTTTTTCCATGGGTAACTATCTTTAGATATTTGAGGAGTAAAAAATGGTTTTGTTTTGGTTTTTTTTTTCTCTATACTGTTGTCTGGTGACAAAGATGATATGTTAAGTTTATTTGGAGGATTTTCTAGGATCCAGGATCAGTTAGTGCTAATAATATTGCAGATGGTTAATACTGCCATTTGGGCTTGTTTTCAGATTTCTGATTGCCATAACTTACTTTCTTCAGGGGAGTTTCGCCCATACACTGAGTGGTCATGCTGTTTCTGGGATGTGGAGTATTGTACCCTTGTTTACTAACTTAGTCAGAAAAGATTTGTTTGCCATTACTTAGATGATTTACAGAAAGGTGCCATTAACTGTCTACATAAAAACTAGTTTTGCAGAGGTAGAATTACTTAAGGCTGTTTAGAAGGCAACACTGGCTTAAGATGGTGAGTACTGAGATTTTGAGGAATTGGAGGGGAGCAATTTTTTGATGTTGTCATTGTTGAATCATAGCGTTCACCAAGGGCTGACATCTGAAACCGAACTTCTTTTGCACAGGTCAGTAAGTGTTTTATCATCATTGACCACACAGTAAGAAGTGAACTAGTGTTATTGGCTACTTGATCAGCACTTACTCAGATTCCTTCTTGCTGTTTTCAAATGAATAGTTAACCTTTGACTACATGAGAAGTCAGATTTTCCAGCCAAATATTTTGGCTGCCTTCTTGGAGATAACAAGCTGTGTCAGAAATTTCTAGAAGAGAAGCAGTGGAAAGTACTGAAGAAAGACCTAATAAAGTCTATATCACAAAGAAAATGTGCACCAAAAGTAACTCCTGCCTTTGAAAAGCCCTTAGAACATGTTCTTAAATCCTGGAGCATGAACCAAACTGGCATTATGGACCTGAGTGCACACTATTACAAATCTCCAAAACCTTCTCAGCAGCACCCACACAAGTTTGTTTCTGTTCATCCACGGAAAGGAGTCTCTAAGACACATACTCTAGTTAAAGTTAATTATTTATAGTGTCATTTTACCACATCCCAGTTTAATGGGTTGCTTGACAAAGCAGTTTAAAAGCACTGATGCAGTCTAAAATTGAAACTCCATTCTTAAAAGTAGAAGTTGGAAAACTAAATGTGTTTAAATGTGTAGTTCCTGCAGTTTTGCATTAGAAGGGAGGCATAGGGGAAATAATACTTGCTTGACTATTGCTACTTTCTTATGCCTATCATCCCTCCAGGACTGCTTATGTGTCTCTTGGGCATACATACTGTTTTTTTCCAGTGGTCATTTACTTTTCATTGTGATAAGGCAATGTGTCTACACCCTCAACCATTTTCACCTGTGTTTTCTTCTGTGGAATACACCTTTCAGATGAAATACCGAGTCTTTTTAAGATTTCAAAATACTTTCACGTTTGTCTATCCATCAAATCCAACTAGGAGTAAAACTGGATAAAACTGTCCCTCTTTCAGTTCAGGTGATAAGTTGTATGATGTAATTGCTATGATATTTAAAGTATGTTGATTGATTACAGCTGTAATAAATGCTGTAGCCTTTGTAAAATTTATGCTTCTTGGTATTTTGGAGATTAATACTATTGAAATGTGGTAATCAGAACCATAGCACTGTGTTCTGAACATTGCCAGGGTAAGCTGATTAAAGGTTTTGGTGCGTGTAGGTTTGAACTCAGCCGGCAGCCAGACGCCACGTGGCTGGCCATTCAGCTCCTCCCCACCTCCCCGGTGAAATAGGGGATGGACAAAAAGAAGAAAATTCATCGGTTGAGTAGAAAGAAAGAATTTACTAAATATAACAAGAAAATCAGTAACAATAGTGAGTCCAAAAAGAAACGAGTAAAATGCAGCAGTGGCTTACCGAGCGCAGCAACACCCCCCAGCCCCCCCTCAGCGCAGGCATGACATCACATGCTATGAAATACTCCAATGAAAATTAAGTCCATCCTGGTTGAAAACAGGACATGGTGAAACACAAAATAGGGATTAGACCTTTCTGACAAGGTCTGGATTAGTCTCAAGGGTTATTTTTGTAGCATTGAATTTAAAGGTAAGTAATCAAAGCATAAAGACATGCTCTTCCATTACATTAAGTATCTTGAGAAATTTTGAGACCTACTTACACTTGCAACAGGTCTATGCTACAGAAATGTCTATCTGGTACCTTAGTGATAGTCCAAAAGCATAATGATCCTGTAAAAAGTGATAGAGGTGGTTAGTGGAGATTTTCCTGGGAGATATATATATGTGTGTGTGTGTGTGTGTGTAAACTACTTGTAGAGAAGTATTATGCATGAAGAATACAGGGCTGGAATTTTCTCATGCTTAGATGGGAATCTGTCCATGACCTTAGCTGAGATTGGGCCCTTTGACCTGTGGAGGCCCCCTCCAGTGTAAATAATGCTGTTCAGTCAATCTGTGTTGTCAAGAGGTTATAGAAAATAATCTGTCTGCATAGAGTGCACTAGCAAGATGGACAGAGTTAACCGTGGCTTCTGATTATTCCACATCTTTATCCTCCCATTAATGCAAAAGTCATTTTTTGCAGATTATAAATTGCAAGGAGTACACTGTATTGTGCAAGATATCTTGATGTAGGCTTTAGAGTTTTCCATTGTATTTGACCCAATTTTGTGCTTGAGCAATTAACACACTTCTAACATGCTGCTGTCTGAAGAGAAAAAAACTTAACCCTGAGAGATGTCTATTTAAATGTACCCAGAGAGATGTTGAAGTCCCTTACCTAGTACCTTTAAAGAAAAATGAGGTAAGGAACTTCTGAGTGTCTGGAAATTGACATGAGTTTCTGCAAGAAACTGGGGACCTAATTATTCACAAATGTTAGGCGTTTGTAATGTAGGTGCCTAAAGCAGCAAAAGCACCAATCTGATCTGACCTGTTTTCATCTGTTGTGAATTTAGCTTCTGCTACAACAGGTAAATTGGATCATTTTCATTCTACAATACTTGTCCTTTAACAGAAAAATACTCCCATTTATTAACTTCTCAATAGATATTTAGCATATCTAGATATAGGCCAGCTCATTGCTTCAAATCTAAACCAAACTGGTAATGATCTAGTTTTCTTTATGGTTGTGATGACAGAATCTAGTTTTAGGTTGGTGTCCAGAAGTAATAATGCCGGATATCAAAAACTAGCATTAATTGATACATCCTTGAAAGTTTCACTTCTAAAGACAACTTCCTGAATTGCCTTAAAGCAATAGGAAATGTGAGGAAGTTTTTCTTGCTGTGTTTGTTCTCAACATGATAAAGGTACACACAACAGTGTGTAAGAAGATAAATTGACAGTTCTTCTATTCCTTTTGAAAAGGGATTTCCAATAAAGAAATTAAAACAATTATTTTGAAGTGGAGAAAATTAATTCTTTCCAATACATTGTTAATCTGCAAAGGATGTGTCCACTAGGTCGTATTGAGGTCAAACATTGTTTAGAATATCCATAATTATGTTACTGGTTTTATGTTGAAGCTGTCTAAACCTTTAGCATGGAGAGTACAAATTAATCATAAACTGATGGGGATAAAGAGTAACAAGATATTCTGTGGGGATCTGGAGAGGGTAACATCCCTTGTACTTCATCCTGAAATAATCTGGTCCTGACAATTTTCAGTGACAGTTTGTTTGACTAAATGGGTCAGCAGTCCAGTTCATTTGTGCCAGAAAGGAGTGTTAACATTGGCTTAAACTGCTAGGACAAAAAGTACCATTCTTTTGGGGTTTTAAATTATTTTAAAAGTTTTTAAAATTTTATCTATTAACTTGACTTGGTGTTTTAGTATATTGTATGAAGAAAGCAGGGTTTGGGGTTTTTTTTATTATGAGTTCTCATTGCTAATTCACATCTTGAAGTTCTAATCCACATTTATGACATGATCCCTTATCCGTGGACAAGCAGTGTCAGACAGGATTAGAGAATTACCACAGAGTGAAGCATCCAAAAACATTTCTGCTGGCTTTTATTAGATTTTTGATTGTTTTGAGTGGCAATAGGTAAGTGGCAATAATAATTCTAGGGTCTTTAAGACCCCACTCTTTCCTTGGAAGGTCTGTCCCCTGCTGAAAATTCTGTCATCTACAGGGTCAAGAAAAAGAGGCAGGCTGAAGGTGCTGCTGTTTGGAAAACAGCTACAGAGCTATTGAGTGTTGGCAGGGGACACAACCATCCAGCAGATGAGAGAACAAGAAAGGAAATACAAGATGGATGTGAGCCCTATTTTTCTTCCAGTTGTCCCCATCAAAAGACTTCTAGGAGAAT